CAGACGGTAAGAGCAGTTTTATCAGTTTTATCAGAGGAGGGGAGCACAGAGGAAGCGGACAGAAGGTGAAAGAGAAGTGGGGTGAGGTTAGCACTTTGGTGACCCAACTGTTAGGGGGAGGGAGAGAGCCCAGGGGTCTAGGCTGTGACTCCGGGGTGACAATCAAGCACAATCGAGGGCCAGTTTTCCTGAGTTTGGGTCCCAGCTCTGACACTGACTTCAGAGCTGTGAGCTGGCTATTGACATGTCTAAGGCTTGACTTCCTCATCTGTAAAAGAGGGCTCACAGTTTGTAGATTCCTTCCAAAAACTGAGAGCAGGTGTGGGTCATAAAAGCCTTTAGCACGCGCGTGCAGTAAATGCTATAAATGTCAGCTATTCTCATTATTATCAATGGGAGGAACAGAACCACAAGTTCAAAGAAAGCTCTTAGCATCCTTCCTACCTTTCCCATACCAACTAAGGGAGCAAGCCGGGGACAGGAGGGGGACAGCACCTTTTATGTTAGAAACCATTCCTGCACAGCCTGGGTCAAGAAGCCCTGACTCACCGAATCCCTCTGCTCCAACCCCACAATTTTTTAGCAGGTAAATCAAAGCCAGAGCTAAAGATCATGAGCAGAATGACAGAAACATCCCCCTGACTTCTCGGACTTCTCGGTCATCAGACTGTGGAGCCCTGACTTCTGTGTTTATTTGCTGCATAACCTTGGACAAGTCACTTGGCCTCTCTGAGCCTGAGCTATTAAGTAGGATAATGGCTATAAACCACTCAGCATGTTTCTAGTCCCCACCAGGCCCTCAAGCAATATTTGTCTCTTCCTCCCCAGAACCCAAGTTTCCTGGCTCTTTCCAGCTCACGGTTGGTTGGGATCCTGCACTCTGCGCTGAGCTCCACCCAAGGGGATTGTGACCAAAGCCTCTGTTCCCAGAGCCCCGACGCCTCTTCCGATCTTAGCAATCACCAACCATAGAGCAGAAGGTCTCAAATTTCAGGGTGCCCAGGGCTACCCAGGGCTCTGGCTGAAATGCAGGCTCACATTCAGTAGGTGATGCTGCTGCTGTAAGTCCTCCGTGTAGAAGAGCCCCACAGTGGTCGGTACACCCCTCTGCTGACTCATGAGCTCCTCCAGGCTGGTCTCTTTATCTTACCCATCTCTGTGTCCCCTCCATGCTCTCTGCTCACTAAACGGATGGTGAAAACATAAACAAACCATAGAGAAAACCATTTTCCGGCTAAGTAAATACAGACAGGGAATTTTGTCTCTGAGCGCCAGCCCTCCTGGTTCATTCCAGAATTGTCCTCCTTGGCCAACATGAGGACAGTGTGGGAGAAGGGGGCCTGGGACCTGGAGCCCTGGATCTGAATCTTGCTTTTCAGTCACCAGTGGGTGGTCCTGGGCAAGTTACCAAGCTCTCACCCATGAGATGAGAATTCTAATACCCAACCACAGTGTAGACCTCAACGATGGCTAAAACGTGTTGTATAAACTGTAAAGTGCTGCAGGCAAGGTATCTTTTACGACAGCAACTTTTTTGAGGGCAGGAGTCACATTTCATTCCCTTAGAACCTGAAGGTTGCTCGAGATGGGCTGGGTGAGGGAGACAACAGGGATCAGGTTGGAGATGGGGACTGCAGAGGTGGGTCTGGAGTCCCCACCCTGCCAGAAGGCAGGCAGAGAATTCACGGTCCTCACAGGCATGGGGAAGGGCTCCTCACTCAGAGTGTAGGAGACCAAGGACCAGGAGGGCACTTAGGGACCATTAGGAAAAAGCACCAAGTAATTACAGATGCCCCCTGCTGCCCAGAGCTGAGTTTAGCCCCCAGGCAAGGGCTTCCTTGCTAGAGCTCACTAATCATTTTCTACCCTCACCCACAGCCAGCTCAGCACTAACACAGGAATCTGAGGACACAGGCGAGAGCAAGACACAATTGTGGGGCACCTGGGTGGCTCAGTTGGTTAAGTGTCCGACTCTTGATTTCAGCTCAGGTGAGGATCTCACGGTTCATGAGTTCGAGCCCCAAGTTGGGGCTCTGTTGGCACACAGCTTGCTTGGGATTCTTTCTCTCTCCCTCCCCAGCTTGTGTGCTCTGTCTCTCAAAATAAATAAATAAACTTAAAAAAAAAAAAAGACACAGTCTTGCCCTCATGAAGCTCCTAGTTTACTGAAGGCAGCATAGAGAAAGAGTGACAGGACAGAGTAACAGATGCTATGGATTGAGAGGTGGGAGTGGCCAATTCTGCTCCTCAGCCATTTAGCCTCATCTGCACTCATCTCCAGATGTTTCCTTTGCCATTCCCCATTTCTAGAATGCCCACCTCCCCTCCTCTCCCCCCCAGCAAGTGCTATCTCATGCTGAATGGTGGTTAGGTCCTGGTGAGGGCTCCCACTAGGAGCCCAAGCCCACGCCAGCTTGTACTTTCCGCATGTGCTCTCGGTAATTATCACATTACCTAGGAACACGTCTGCCCCCCTAGTGAAGAGCTAATCACAGCCTGCACCATTACTTACATTTGTGCTTCCCTAGGTCTCCACAGATTACAGCAAGAATCGCTGAAAGTTTGTCCCAAAGTTTACAACAATGCCTTGCTGCCTATTACTTAATGCAATCCCCACAATAAACCTGTAAGGTAAGTATCACCTTTATTTTATAATAAGGAAACCTTAGAAAGGTTTGCCCGGGGACATATAGCTTATCCAAGTGCCTGGCTATAAAACTCAAACCTCTTACAGCTCCAATGCCACTGTTCTACTCAGAGACACTGGGTGCCACTGTTGCCTCAGAGGCAACACTACAGTGGTTAAAGGTTGGGACCACTTCCAGCTGTGTGACCTTGGGCAGGTGACTTAAACTCTCTGTGCTTCAGTTTCCTCATGGAAAATGGGGCTGATACCCACCTCATGGATCCTTGTTGAGATTAAAGAAGGAAATACAACAAAGTGCTTAGAACGGTGCCAAACACAGTAATTAGCCTCAATTATCACTACACCTTGGCCGATTCTCATGGTCTCTCAACTTATTAAAATTTTTTCCTAGCTCATTTTTATATCTCATAATACACTGGATACAGTCGAAGTCATTAAACAGAATGAGCTTTTGCAGATTGACTAATGCCAAGTTTTAGGACTGTTCTCTTTTCTTCGCTCTCCTACACCTCTCCTCTCTTTTCCTGCTCCAGCCTACCTCCTCACTCTCACCCCCCCACCTCCAAAACAAGGCACTCAGTTAGATGCGGCCAATCACAAGGGTTCCACATGTAAAATACCTGCAAACCTTGGCCCAGAGTCTCCTTTGTTGGGCCATCCCAGGACAGCAAGGGCACATCCCAGTTCTGGGTGGAAAGAAGCTTTCACAAACCTAATTTCCATCACTATAATGGGTCAAAGTTTTACGTGTCTTCCTCTAGTGCTCCAGTTTTTACTGATCTGAGACTCCAGACGGAATGGATTATCATAAAATAACATCTATTTCTTTTCCTTTTCCACTAAAAAAAAGAAGACTATTCACACTGCTTCCTGGAGCAAGAAGCCTCAGGACCAGACAGCTGGCTGAGGCAGTAAGACCCACGGTGGACAAGCAGGTGGAAAGATTCTTTCTATCTAGGGGCCCAGTCCACAGAGTCAGAGGGGAAGCCTCAAACCCAGCTGGTCCTTGGGAGGCAGCAGTGAACAGCCATCTCTCTCATTGTGCCTGGGCTAGGATGACCCAGGGAGGGGACACTCCCTACTTTACACCCCCCAGACACACCTGCAACGGGCCAGAGGCAACTGGAAAGAGAAAAGGATGAAGTTCCCAGGGGTGAAAAGCTTTCTTCTTTGCAAGATTCCATACACAGAATACACAGCCAGGTCCTCGGAATCTTTTCTATCTAAAACCCCAAAGCCCTTCCTTTACATTGTACTGTGCTTGGGGGAGGGGGTGGAGGCACGGGTGGGGGCACCGCAGAGCACTGCAGGGGAACCGGCCTCTGGCAGTGGGGTCCCAGCTGGATCTTCAAAGGTTCCACCCTGAGCGCAAGAGTGAAGCACGAATCTGCCCATACAACTTTGGCACCGGGATGAAAAGAAGTGCTGTGCCCTTTGAAATGGATTTTGCATACAAACGAGTTGATGAACACCAGAAACATGTCCGCTTTATTCAGTCAAATCAATATACCAGGCATTCAAACTCTGAGGTAAAAATGGATTGTGGCTTTTTGTTGATGGCACTGGGGAATTTTGGCCCCCGGCCCTGCTCAGGCTGGACAAATAGGGCAGTCTGCCTATTTGCTGTCAAGCACATCTTGGGGGATGAAACCAAAACCCCAAGTCAGGGCTCTGGGCATCACTGGGCAGCTCATCTTGACCAGCAGCGGGCTGTCCAGCCAAAGGCCGGCCCCTGGCCCCTGGCCGGCCCTATCCTCCAGCCCCCATTTTCCAAACTCGGCCACACGTCGCATTTCCTACATTCCTTCTCGCCGCCCAGACCCCTGCAGCCCGGCCCTCGGAGGCCGACAGCTGGGGGTGGCGTGAGCCAAGCAAGAGGCACTAGGAAGGGGGTGCTAGGAGTGGAGGGGAATGTCAGTGCAACCCAGAAGCGATCGAGAGGGGAGGAAAGGGCTCCCCGCTTCACATCCCCGTCCAGCGCTCCGCTCTCCGCCGCCACACTAGAGTGGCCCCCCAATGCGCTTCCACTGCCTAGGGGGCACCCCTTCCATTCGGCCGCCCTTCAGTTCCTTCGGTTCTCACCGTCCCTGTGACCCCTTGCCCTGCCTCGCCGCACGGATCATGTCAGCTCTTCGAAGCCTCCCTGCCCTTCTCCTCGGGCCAGCTGGGATGCCCCTGGTCCCCGACCTCCCCAGGGTCGCCTCGACCTGAGCACCCAGATGCTCCCTCTCGCGGTCCCCTTGCCCGGTCCTCCCTGGGCCTGAAGACCTCTGCTCCCTTCAAAGCCCCTCCCGAGCACTGCGTCTCACGGGAAGCCCCAGCCACGCATGCCCCGGGGTCCCCCGGTCCTCACCTGAGTCCGCTCGAAGCTCTCCCTTTCGGCCGCCTCGATTCCCGCGCCCACCCCGCGCCTGCTCAGCACCTTGGGCAGCGGGTTGGGCACCTGCTTCATGGAGCTGGCCATCCGGTCCATGTCGCCGCGCGGAGCCGAGTCAGGGGCCCTCGGCCGCCCCGGGATCCCCACGGCGCCGCCCGCCCCGCCCTACCCGCTGGGATCCGGCGCTAACGGGACGGCTTCCGCCTTCCATTGGCTGAGAGCGCTGCTACTCTCCCGAGGCCCCGCCCCGCCCAGAGGCTTCCCCGACCGCCCCCGCCCCCTCTGGAGCCCCACCGCGCGCCCCGCCCCGCTGGGGCTCTCGGGACCGCGAGGCCCGCCGTGACCGGCCAGGACGCCTATCCATCATCGGGTCCAGCCGCCCCCGGAGGGGGCGGGGAGAGGGGCGGGGCCCGAGCCGGGGCTGCCCTGACCTGCCCTCGCCCGCCCCTCCCCCCACGGCCGGCGCGCCGCTTTCCCCGCCTGTTCCCCGCGAGCCTCGCTCTCCTCCGCGGCGGGCGCTGCCAGGTTCCCGGCGTGGTGGGCGGGGGTCACGCGGGCTGGAGCGCAGGGCCTCCCGCAGGGAATCCGGGCCGCCTGGGAATAGCCTTGTTTACACCGCTCGGGCCGGACGGGAGAGCGCGGGATGGACAGGCTCTGCGGCCGCAGCCCGGGGAAGCTCTGCCCCAGGCCAGGTCCCCGCTGTAAGGGCCAGCGTTGGCCAGACCTGGCGGCCGGGGTGGCGGCCCCCACCCAGCCCCCTCTGCTTCCTCCCGCGTCCTGACCCTGCTCTGCAGCCCTGCCCATCCCCTTTGTAAGGATCGCCGACCCGAGGGCGCCGGGTGGGTCAGCGGGAACGCTCTGACACCTATCCGAACCCCTCCGGGTCTGGAACCGGCAAGAATGTATTCGTTGGTAGAAACCCTTGCTTCTGTTGGTGTCGGTGCGCGGCTCTGGGCCACCCCTCCCGTCCTGCGCCGGTGTCAGCCGAGGTACCGACAGTCAGAGGGAAGTGTGATCGTTAGCGGAGGTGCCCAAGAAAGTTAGAAGTTTCCCGTTAAATGCTAATGTTGATGTTTTAAAGACAAATGTTTTAAAACTGAAGGTGAAGAAAGGTATTCTTTTTTTTTTTTTTTTTTTAACTAAGAGCTTTTGATAAAAATTCACACATTCAACAAAGAAGCGAATGAGGGGGTGGGCCTTTGCAGGCACTAGGGAACCACTGAAGGCTTTTGCTCAGATCTGTGCCTTTAGGGGCTGGCATTGTGTGGACCAGATTATGGGGGCGAGGAGGAAGGGAGGGAGGGAATCAACAGGGAGACCCTAGCGGTAGGTGGGAGACATTGAGGGCCTGCAAAGGAATGAGGAATGTCCTGTGGGAGGTTACAGGAATATGCTTGGATGCAGGGAGTGGGGAGAGGGAGGAGGCAGTGGTGGGGCCCGAATTTCTATAGAGGAGGGATTTCAGGGTGGCTGTGAGATGCAGGGGTAGTGGCCTTGACGCTACATACCCATAACTAACACACTGGTTTCACCTTTTGGGGGGGGAGTGGCTCCCTTTGGGTTTCTTTGAAGAAGAGGTGAGCTGCCTAGTTTTCAAGGCTTTGTGTCTGGGAAAGTGGAGGTGACATCAAATGCACAGTCTGGACGCTGACTAAAGAGGAGAGGACTTCAGTTCTGGGCAGAGCAATGTCAGCACAGACTTGGCCAAAGGGCAGGTGACGGGTGGAAACAGAGGAGCCCGGGGAGGAAGAATCAGAGAAACAGAAGGGGAGCCAAGGCCCAGGTGGGAGGTCCCCAGGGTAACGGCAATCTGTGGACTCGGGACATAAAGCCAGGAGATGAGGGTTGTGTTTGGGGGCTGTGAAGGTGTCTGGTTCAGTACTGCTTCTGCCCCTCCTTCCAGGTGCAGAGCAGATCAGAGAAGATTCAAGGCTGGATCTGGCCCACCACAGGGGCTCCTAGGAATATGCCTACCAGGAAAACACACAAGATTGACAGTTAATGTAACCTCTGTGTGCCCATTCTTACCCCACACCCGCCTCACACTCTGGATCCAGCCAGAGTGATTTATGACCCTTTGCCCAGAGTTTACGGCTTTGATAAACAGGGCCCTTTAAACGAGGATTAAGGGCTCAACCTACTTCTTATTAGGATAAACCAGAGTAGGAATCAGGAATTTGTGGTTTGGAGGCACCCTGTGGAGAAAGACTCTGGAGAGTTAACCTTCCTCTGAAGCTCAGAGTGAGTTAAAAATAAGGATTTCCCTTTGCCCTCCCCCAGGGCAAACAGCATGACCCTGCTGGTTTCCTTCAGGTCTTACTGTCTCTCCCCAAAATATGGGAACCATTTGTACGGTAGTCTCCCCCACACCCTCACCCACATTTTCGCTTTCTGTGGTCTCAGTTCCCACGATCCAAAATATTAAACGGAAAGTTCCAGAAATAAACAATTTGTAAGACTTAAATTGCACACCGTTCTGATGTGATGGAATCTTGCGTGTCCCGCTCCGTCTTGTCCAGGATGTGATTCATCGTTTTGTCCAGCAAATCCATGCTGTATTCGGTACCCGCCTATTAGTCACTGTGTCACAGTGCTTGTGTTCAGATAACCCTTATTTTACTTAACAATGGTCCGAGAGCACAAGAGCAGTGATGCTGGCAATTCGGATATGCCAAAGAGTAGCTGTAAAGGTGGAAGTTCTCTTATGAATAAGGAAAGAAAAAACTTGTATGCTGAAATTGCTAAGATCTACAGTACGAACGCATGGTGTATGTATCCGTGAAACTGAAGAAGGAAAAAATTCTAGTGCTAGTTTGACTGTTAATCTGTTACTGTGCCTAATTTATAAACTAAACTTTATCACAGACATGTATGTATGGGAAAAACATAGTATCTTAAAAAAAATTTTATTTAAAAAGATAGATTAAATTTCTTATATTTAGTGGCACCTGGGTGGCTTAGTCACTTAAGCGTCTGACTTCAGCTCAGGTCATGATCTCATGGTTCACAAGTTTGAGCCCTGCATGGAGCTCTGTGCTGAAAGCTCAGAGCCTAGAGCCTGCTTTGGATTCTATGTCTCCCTCTCTCTTCCCTGCTCACACTCTTGTCTCTGTCTCTCTCTCAAATAAAAATAAATGTTTAAAAAAATTTTTTTTAATTAAACCCATAAAAAATTTTTAAATTGTATACATTTAAAACCTACAATTTGATGATTTTTGACGCATGAAACCATCACCACAATCAAGAGAGTGAACATATCTATCAAGCCCAAAGATTTCCTCAGGTCCCTTTGTAATTCGTCCCTACCTCCTCCCGAAATCCTGTGTCTAAGCAATTACTGATCTGCTTTCTGCCACTAAAAATCAACTGCATTTTCTAAAATTTTAATCTTGTCTGGAAGACAAGATGTCTTCTTTCTGGTTTTTTTCACTAAGAATAGTTATTTTGAAACTTATGTATGTTATCACATATATCAATAGTTTGCTCCTTTTTATTGCTGAGTATTATTCCAGTCCACGAATAGTCCACAAATTGTTTATCCATTAATCTGATGATGAAAATTTGGATCCTTCCTAGTTTTTAACTACTACCAAAAAAGAAAAAAAAAAAAAAGGTGCCCTGAGCAGTCATGTACAAGTCATTGTATGAACATGTGCTTTCATTTCTGCTGGGTAAATACCTAGGATCGTATGTCTGGATTGTATGGTGGATGTACATTTAACTTTTTAAGAAACTGCCAAATTGTTTTCCAAAATGGTTGTACCATTTTACATTCCCACCGTCAGTGTGTAAGTTCCGGTTGCTTCACATCCTTGCCAACACTTGATATGGTCAGTGTTTTTAATTTTAGACATGCATGTGGTAGCGTCTCACTGATGTTTAAACTTGCATTTCCCCAATAACTAATGAAGTTGAGTGTCTCTTCAGATACGTATTTGACATCTGTATGTTCTTCTTGGTAAAGTGACTGATTAAATCTTTTGCCCATTAAAAGAAAACATTTTATTGAAATAAGAATAGACTTACAAAACATTTGCAAGGGAATACAAGACGTTTCCACGTACCCTCCACCTAGCATCCTACACAGCTTGATGCTAACGTCTTACACAGGCATGGTACAATTAATAAAACTAAGAAATTAACATTGCTACAATATTACTAATTAAACTACAGACTTTATTTGGATTTCACCATCTACTAATGTCCTTATTCTGCTCCAGGGCACAATCTAGGACTTTATATTGTCATTAATTTTTATGTTTCCTTAGCTTCCTCCAGTCTGTGACAGCTCCTCAGTCTTTCCTTATGTTTTATGACACTGACATTTTTGAATAGTATTGACCTGATATATTGTAGACTGACCCTCAATCTGAGCTTACCTGATATTTTCTCATCATTCGATTGATGTTATGAATTTCTGGTAAAAATACCCCAGAGGCTGGGGTGCCTGGGTGGCTCAGTCAGTTAAGCGTCTGACTTTGGCTCAGGTCATGATCTCAGGGTTCAAGAGTTCGAGCCCCACATCTAGCTCTGTGTTGACAGTATGAAGCCTGGTTTGGATCCTCTGTCCCCTTCTCTCTCTGTCCCTCTCTTGCTCATGCTTGCTCTCTCAAAAATAAATCAAACCATTTAAAAAAGTGTTTTAAAAAAATACCCCCTGAGGTGGTGTGCCCTTCTCAGCACATTCTATCAGGGGTACATATTGTTGATGTCTTTTTTTTTTTTTAATGTTTATTTATTTTTGAAAGAGAGACATAGAGTGCAAGCAGAGGAGGAGCAGAGAGAGAGGATGACACAGAATCCAAAGCAGGCTCTGAGCTGTCAGCACAGAGTCCAACACAGGCCTCAAAGTCATGAACCATGAAATCATGACCTGAACCAAAGTCAGATGCTTAACTGACTGAGCCACCCAGGCGCCCCTGATATGTCTTATTACTGATTATGTTCATCTCAATCACTTGGTTTAGGTGGTGTCTACCATGCTTCTCCACTGTAAAATTACTCTTTTTTGCTTTCTAATCAATACCAATTTGGGGGAGGTACTTTGAGGCTATGCAAATATCCTGTTTAAGGAGGGTAAATTTGGAAGGCTGTCTTTATATTGAATGAATAGGTGAG